GGGAGCCGGCGGGGGCTGCCGGTCGGGGGTGAGGGGTGCCAGCGGGGGCTGCCGGTCGGGGGTGAGGGGCACCGGCGGAGCTGGGGGGAGCCGGCGGGGGCTGCCGGTCTGGGTGCTGATCCTCTCTCCCTCGACCCAGGCGGCACCGATAACCACCTGGTGCTGGTGGACCTGCGGCCGAAGGGCATCGACGGGGCCCGGGCCGAGCGGGTGCTGGAGCTGGTGTCCATCACGGCCAACAAGAACACCTGCCCGGGGGACAAGAGCGCCCTGACGCCGGGGGGCCTGCGGCTGGGTAAGGGGGTGCCAGGGGGTGGGGCGTGTCCGGCCTCCCAGCTCGAGGGGGGATTGATTCCCACAGTCTGTTCCCAGTACTGGGCCTTCCCCTGGGAGACCCCCCTGGTCCCCCCTCTGGGGATGACCCCCGGTTTTGCCCTCCTGAGGGTACCATGGCGGCTTTGAACTCTATGCCCTGGCGCCCCCAGGCGTCCGACATCAGTGAGAGCTGGGGACAGAACCCAGGAGTCCTGGCTCCCAGCCCCCCCCTGCTCTCACCACTAGCCCCCACTCCCCTCCAGATGCCCCAGTGCTGGGCTTTCCCCCGGGTGTGGGGAGGCCGGCACGGTGAGGTAACCGTGGGGCCGGGCTCTCCCTGTGGGGGTGGGGAGCTGGCACTGTGAGGTAACTCCGGTGTCGGGGGTGGTGGCGCGGTGAGGTAACCCCGGTGCCGGGCTCTCCCCAGGGGCCCCGGCGCTGACGTCCCGCCGGTTCCAGGAGGCCGATTTCCAGAAGGTGGTGGCCTTCATCGACGAGGGGATCAGCATCGGCCTGGAGGTCAAGAGCAAAACCAGTGAGTGGGCAGGGGGGGGGAGCAGGAGCTTCTCAGCCTCTGCCCTGCTGGTCTGAATGCCCCACGCGGGGGCAGGCCCCAGCCAAGGATCGGGCCCGTCCTGCTGGTGCAGCAGCCTGGGGCATCGGGGATCTCTGGGCTGGGGGGACCTGTGTGTGACACAGGCACCGCACGGCTTCTCGGAAAGCCAGGACACCTGGGTTCCATCCCGCCTCTGGGACGGGAGTGGGGTCTAGTGGTTAGAATAGGGGGGCTGGGAACGGGGGGGGGGTCTAGCAGTTAGAGCAGGGAGGGCTGGGAGCCAGGACGCCTGGGTTCCATCCCGCCTCTGGGAGGGGAGTGGGGTCTAGTGGTTAGAATAGGGGGGCTGGGAACGGGGGGGGTCTAGCAGTTAGAGCAGGTGGGGGGGTCTAGTGGTTAGAGCAGGGAGGGCTGGGAGCCAGGACTTCTGGGTTCCAGACTGCCTCTGGGAGGGGAGTGGGGTCTAGTGGTTAGAGTAAGGGGCGGGTGGGGCTGAGAGCAGGTGGGGTGGGGTCTAGTGCTTAGAGCAGGGGGTGCTGGGAGCCAGGACTCCTGGGTTCTCTCCCTGGCTCTGGGAGGGCAGTGGGGTCTAGTGGTTAGAGCGGGGGGGTCTGGGAGCCAGGACTCCTGGGTTCTATCCCTGGCTCTGGCAGGGGAGTTGGGGTCTAGGGGCTAGAGCAGTTTTCCTTTGTACATTGGGGATAAAGCCCGTGCCACGGCTCTGGGCTGGAATGGTGGGTTGGGGCGGGGGGGTCTGTCTTTGTGAAGCCTCTGGGGAGGGGGGGCCTTGGCTGACCCCCTCCCCTGGTTTCCCCACTCACCCCCTCCCCTTTCTCTCCCCAGCCAAGCTGCAAGACTTCAAATCATTCCTGCTGAGTGACGCGGCGACGCAGAGCCGCCTGGCCGACCTGCGCCAGCGCGTGGAGACCTTCGCCCGCTCCTTCCCCATGCCCGGCTTCCAGGAGCGCTGAGCAGCGGGGGCTGGCCCTGCCCCGCCCACGTTCCGGGGACAGAGACTGACCCTAACCCCAGGAGGGGGGCGGTGCTGGGACCCCGGGCATCCCGCCGCGTGGCACGGCCCCTTCGTATCCCGCTCTGTACTGCAGCCTTCACCCCCCCCCCCCCCCGGGTTCCCCTGCTCCTGCAGCTGACTTCAGCCTCACCCGTTATTGTAGGGTCTCCTGCTGGAATGTTCCCCAGCTCCGTGCCAGCTCCCACCCCTCCCTGTCAGTCACAATCAAGGTTGTCCCATTGTAGGTGCCCTGCGCGTGCGCCCTAACCCACCCTCCCGGTGCCAGCGGGGGTTGGGAAAACACCCCCCGAGGCCTAGTTCTGGGTCCCACGTCTCTCCCGCTAAGGACGCTCCAGCTGCTTTGCCCCCAGATGGGGTGGGTCAAAGGGGGTGGCGGGGGGGCGGTCCCTCCCTTGTCAGGGCGATGCTGGTTTAACTGAGCGAAAAAACCTGGAACGTCGGAAAGTTGTGTTGTCTGGTGTCGGTCTGTCCGTCCATCGGGGGGGGGGGC